TTTTTTTAACTTTTTTAGAGACGAGTTCTATGTTGTCCAGGTTGGCCTTGAACTCCTGGGCTCAGGTGATCCTTCCACCTCAGCCTCCTGAGTAGTTGGGATTACAGGTGTGAGCCACCAAGCCTGGTTCCTTTATAACTCTATTACTTCTTTTTTTTTTCTTCTTCTTTTTTGAGACAGAGTATCGTTCTTGTCACCCAGGATGGAGTGCAGTGGCACAATCTCAGCTCACTGCAACCTCTGCCACCCAGGTTCAAGGGATTCTCGTGCCTCAGCCTCCCAAGTAGCTGGGACTACAGGCACGTGCCACCATGCCCCACTCATTTTTTGTATTTTTAGTAAAGACAGGGTTTCACCATGTTGGCCAGGCTGGTCTCAAACTCCTGACCTCAAGTGATTCACCCATCTTGGCCTCCTGAAATGCTAGGCATGCGTGAGCCACCGCACCCGGGCTTGTAACTCTGTTACTTCTGAAAACTGTAAGATATTCTCTTTATCTCTTCAGTGTTCTGAAATTTTTTATGATATTTCTTGGTATATGACTCTCTCTATTCATTTTGCTAGGCATTCAATAAACCTCTTGAATCTGAACATTCATGTCCTTCATTTCTGAGAATTTTTTATGTCGTTTCTTAAATAATTTTCTCTTGGATTTTGTTCTTTGAGGTAGATCTGTTAGCTCACTATTGCCCCTATTGAACTGATACCCTAATTTTCTTAAAAGTTTTTTGCTTTCGATGTTGTCTCTGTTTTCCCTGAGTTCTGTTTCTCCGCTTCTTTGTTTTGGTTTATCTCTTTGATGCTTTCCTTAAATGTTTATTAGTCCTTGGATAACTAAGCATAAGGATACCTGGTGGACAGGTGGAGCTTGCTGACTTGTAAGCCTCACAGTTAGGTGATCAGGACACCTCCAGTCTTTTACTTGGTGACCCCTAAATGTCAGTGTGTAAAAACAACTTTCCCCTGAGGATTGTTCACTGGAAAAACTAATCTCTGTGGCAGTGGGTATACATTGCTGCTGTTCTCAGGATGGGAAACAGGGTCAAGGATCTCACTGTGTAGTATGTAGGCTTTTGCCCAGCACCCTGTTTTCAGCCCTGTGCCTCACCCCTGCTAAATCAAAGAGTAACTCCTCTTGAGCAGGGGCAGTTTGCATTATCTCTGATCACTTTGCATACAATTATCTCTGGATATATGTGAAGTGGTTCAATTTCAATGTAGCAAAGAGCTGTTAAGAAACTGAACCATTTGATATGTGCACATTTTCTATGACATTTCTTGGTATATGACTCTGAGCTAATTTTATACATGTTTACTTCAGGAACCCTTATTCCGAGAGCATAAAAGAAATGCTAACGACATTTGGAACTGCTACCTACAAGGTGGGACTAAAGGTTCATCCCAATGAAGAGGATCCTCGTGTTCCCATAATGTGTTGGGGTAGCTGTGCATACACCATCCAAAGCATAGGTGAGGGATTGACAGCTGTTTCTCTGTATATCACAAGCATTTGTTGATATGAATTAGGTGTAGAATCTTGTTTTTTAAATGAAATGTTTAAAGTGGGTAACAACGTGAAGAAATAATAAAAAGACTTAAAAGCAAGAAATGTAGTGTACTGACAAAATACTAGATTGATAGTTCATAAATTAACCACAGCAACAAGAGAACTCTTGGTGGTGATTATAGCTTCTTGTCAGTTGAAGGAATGTGCTGTTCATTTTTACTTTGTAACCAAATGTAATTCTTGTGAAATGACTTTGAAGATTCTGAAACTTGACAATATTGTACTTTCTGTAGAATTGGGGATTTTTTAACCTTTTTTAAAAAATTGTATTAAAATATTCATAACATAACATTTACCATTTTAACCATCTTTAATCTGTAGAAAGAATTTTGAGTGATGAAGATAAACCATTGTTTGGTCCTTTACCTTGCAGACTGGTAAGTTCTCAGTTTATTCAGTTCATGAAAGGGGGGCATGGAAATTAGGTGGTTCTGCTTCTTTTAATCTTACGGATCTGCAGTAGTTACTACATTC